TGCCTTCACCATGTGTTTTTGGCACCAAAACCATGATGAAGGCAACGTGGCTGGAGGGCTGGCGTGGTTCGTGTGGCTGGCCTGGTCTGTGTGGCTGGTGTGGTTGGTGTGGCTGGTGCGGAATGTGGCTGGTGTGGCGGGTATTCGGTGTGGCGTATCGTTGTCGAACCGAAACGAAACTCCGCAATACTGGCAATTCATATACCGCACACGTATCGGTATCGACCGAACCGCCCGATGACAACCATGTCTACTTTTACTTGTTGGACGCAGTCGCACACTCTTCGTTGAACTTCCAGGCAGCTGCTTTATCCTTTACCGTCCCGCTGCCAAGAGCACGGCTCAACACGTCGTAACCCTTGGCGGACTGCACCGGGATGAAGAACAGATCCAGGCCGTGCGCAAAAACCTGGCCCAAGAAAACCATGACTAGATCAAAGTGCCACGTGTTGGCAAACTTTCTGTCTCCGTCTGGGAAGAGCGTTAAAGGCTGTCGGCCAACACTCTGAAGACGACCGAAGGTACTCCAACAACTGCAAAAAGAACAGGCCAGCTGTGCCAAGGACGTTGACCTGGCAGTTGCTGCAAATACAGGCTGAGGACTCACAGGTCACAGGACTCACAGGGCGCACCGCTTTTGACACTCCTAGAACTACACCGTGATCGTCACGACGAGACGACATGCATGTTGAGCTACGCATGAACTGCCAAGCCAGCTTTGGGCTAAGGCCGCCGAGCACGTGGCGAGGAAGAGCAAGATGATCCTCCACCAGAGTACTGTGTAAACCTTTCCCGCGTGACGAATCCGAGAATCAAATCGGAGAAGCAGGCTAGCAAGCAAGCTCAGCGGCACCCACCCAGGCACCCAGGCACCCAGGCACCCCAAATCGTTTGAATTCTTTCTCCCACTCCCCCGCCCCCCCCCGTCCCACCCCCCTCCCGCCATCGCAGGCTCTCACTGCATTCACGCCGCCCGCTGCGGGGTTTCTGCTGACTCGACTCTGCGGTCCCCCCTGCCCTCCAAACTCTAAACTTCCTAAACCCCAGCCCTAGAAGCCCCCTATGTACTACGGTTGATGATATAAACCCTGCATTACAAGAATATACCATAATTCCCATAGTTTCGGGTCCTTAAGGCAATGCATGATTTATATCATCCACCGTATCCCAGAAAGCCCCTACCGAAACCCGAAGAGCTCATTTTCCAGAGATCCCCAAATCCCAAAACACTAGACCAAAAACCCTATAAACCCTAAACCCAAAACCCTAAACCTTAAACCTTAAACCCAAAACCCTACCGAAACCCTAAACCAATCCCAGAAACCCCCTAAGAGCTCCCCTTTTCCAGAGATCCCAAGAAAGCCGGGCGGACTCCAAGGCCGTGGGCGAGGAGGCGATGCCCGTGACCCGGCTCAGTCCCTCAGGGCCACAGCTAGGTGAATTATTACTGTTAGTATTAGTACTATTACTAGTATTGTTGTTATTATTATTGTTTTATTATTATTATAACTATTGCTACTATTATTATTGTGATTAATTTTATTGTTACTATTATTGTTATTATTATGATTAGCTATCATCCTAGTAAATTATGGTTACCATCATTTCTGCTCCAGCGTCGTAGGTTTTGAGGGCATTGTTCAGGATTTAGGGTGGTTTAGGGTTGAGGGTCGCTTGGGGTTTTGGGGGTTTTGTTTACAGGTCAAAGTAGCTCACAGCAGGGTTTTGAGGCCACGGCGGCAGGCTTGGTCTTGGCAGCTTACACGGTGCGGTTAAACGTCATGGCAGGCCACAGCACAGGAAAAGGCAAGGAAGACTCGCTTTCTAGTGCCGTCATAGTGACATACTAAACCTTACATTGCCATCCTGGAAACCTACTGCAAGGGTCCAACACACGGATCGACGCCCTGAGGCCACGGCTTGGTAGTAGTTCAGCATCTCGGTCTGCCTCAATGGCACCATGGGGTTGTAGGGCGGCAGCGGCTCGTCCTGTGTTCCGCAGCTTTCAGAGCTCAAGGGAGCTGCATGGTCAAGCTGGACCTTGTTTGCAGGAGAGTCATTTCAGTGCATTCTAATCTCCACACTTAGTTTGCTGGGGTCGGATAACGGAACTTGTCTGATGAAGAAGAAGATAGCAAAAAGGAGCATCCACGAGGCGAGGGCAAATGGGCACCTCTTCCCACGTGAGAGTGAAAGTGCGGATAGGACTGCCTTCTTGAAGAACACCAAGACGGGACTCACATAACAATAATCACAATCATCATCATCATCATCGTATACAGATAGATATATATATATATATCTGTATATATATACATATATATNNNNTGTATGTATGTATGTATATATAGAAACAGTCAAAGCACTTTCACATGTGACACACACAGACACACAGAGACAGGGGGGGCTTCGAAGAGGCCGAAAGCCACGCCCCTCAACTCCCGGAGTCCTTCGAAGGTGCAAACTGCGAAGGGACTTTAGCTTTGGCCGCTGGCGCATTCGTCGGGTAAGGCCTGGC